TAAGAAAATTGGGGCCAAATTAAAAATCTACACATGCTATATAATCTCATCAATTTAACATACAAAATCCAAAAAAAAAAAATACCAAAAATATTAACACATAAACTGATAAAAGTAAACTCAAAATTAAATTATATAAATAGTATGACGAAAAAAAAAAACAGAAAAAATCTAGAAGAATCATTAATGTTGACAATATACAAAATGCCATTGAACAACATATCATCAACGTACGTTACTCATCACCCTTATCACAAAATGATGACCGGAGCAATCCCACCGACGCTACCACCGGAAACAAAACGCAGCGTTTTGAAACCGCACATCATGGTGTTTCCATATCCAGCACAAGGCCACTTGCTTCCTCTTCTCGACCTAACTCATCAACTCTGTCTTCATGGCTTCACAATCTCAATAATCATCACTCCTAAAAACCTTCCTTACCTTTCTCCTCTTCTCTCTACTCATCCATCCGCCGTTTCCGCCGTCATTTTACCTTTCCCTCGCCAACCTTCACTCCCTCCCGGAGTCGAAAACGTCAAAGAACTCGGTTGCTCCGGTAATCTTCTGATTATGGCTTCTCTTCGTCATCTTCGAGAGCCTATCATCAAATGGTTATGTACTCATCCTAATCCTCCTGTTGCTCTCATCTCCGATTTCTTCCTCGGATGGACTAACGATCTCGGTATTCCTCGCTTTGCCTTCTTTAGCTCGGGAGCATTCTTAGCTTCGATTGTCCATTTTTTCTCCGACAAGCGTCATGTATATGAATCAACCGAGCCTGTCTGTTTATTGGAACTTCCTCGTACCCCTGTTTTCAAAACAGAGCATTTACCGTCTTTTGTCCCGCAATCTCCTTCATCGCAAGATCTAGAAATTCTTAAAGATATACCCATGAGTTTCTCGAGTTACGGTTGTGTTTTCAATTCTTGTGACTGTTTGGAAGATGAGTACATGGAGTATATGAAGCAGAAAGTTGGTCATAACCGTGTTTTCGGTGTTGGCCCGCTTTCTTCAATCGGGTTAAGTACGGAAAATCCCAATTCGGATGTAGACGTAAAGGCCTTGATGAGTTGGCTTGACGGATGTCCAAACGGATCAGTACTCTATATCTGCTTTGGAAGTCAAAAGGAGTTAACCAAAGACCAGTGTGATGCTCTGGCTCTTGGTCTTGAAAAGAGCATGACCCGGTTCGTTTGGGTGGCTAAGAAAGACCCGATACCCGATGGATTCGAGGATCGGGTTTCAGGTCGAGGGATGATTGTTAGAGGGTGGGCTCCTCAAGTGGCTGTGTTGAATCATGTAGCGGTAGGCGGGTTTTTAAGCCATTGTGGATGGAACTCGGTGCTCGAAGCAATGGCTAGCGGAACAATGATCTTGGCTTGGCCTATGGAAGCAGACCAGTTTGTTGATGCAAGGCTACTAGTGGAGCATAAGAGTGTAGCGGTTCGAGTATCTGAAGGAGGTAACACTGTACCAAACCCGCATGAGTTAAGTCGGATCATAGCTGAAACAATGGGTGAATGCGGACGCGAGGTATGTGCTCGGGCTAATGAAATGGGACGTAAGGCACGAGCTACGACTGAAGTAGGAGGAAACTCTAGTGAAGATTTAAATAGACTTGTCAAAGAATTAAGCTCTCTATAATAAAGATATGATTTTTAAAGCCTTTGAAATAGGTTTTGATCCAAATAAAAAAAAATGTGTATTTTTCATTGTTAAAACGTTACCTTAAAGATTGAGGAAGATTCAAGCATCTTCATAGTTAAAGCATCACACTTTGAATCTTTAACACCGTAAAAGTTAGTACTGTACACACACAACATAAAAAAAAACATATGAACATTCAAAACAAAATGACATAAGGGGAGTTTTATCAAATCTACCATTTCTTTTATTTTTTTTTTTTGTAAAATCTACCATTATTAAAAATTCTTTTTAAAATCTACCACAATTACACTGTTCACAGCGACTTAAAGACAATTATACCCTTGCATCAGCTTTGCTTTTTTTTTTTGTATTTGTCCACCATAATTGTTTTTGTCCACCAATGTCTCCGACCATAATTTGGTGGACAAGAATTTAGGAAAAATGGTGGACAAGAATAGCCTAACACTTATGAATTCTCTATTTGTGGACGAAAATATCGTAACATTTTCGAAGACTTATTTGTCTTTACCTATATTTATCGTCTACGCATCCAAATCTAAATAATATATAATTCCACTTCAGAGTAGAAGAAGATGTCCAAATATATGCGTAGGACCAAGTGGACAACTTCTGAACTTGTGTTATGCGTAAAAGTTGTTCACTAAAATCCTGTCAGATCACAGATCATGAAAGTTATTTTAGTGGACAACTGTGTTATGCGTGGAAGTTGTCCACTAAAATCGTATGT